GAGAACACCCGCTCTTTCGGAAGCCCTGTAAAGCTTGTTCACAAGAAAGAAAGAAGGGCTCTTCCAAAAGAGGAGGTTTTTCTGAAATTTGTCCCACTGTAGATGGGCCAAATTTTGGAAAAGCCTCTTCTGAAAAAAGAATCGGAAAAAGATATGCAAAATGCGGAGTGCAATTTGTGTTCCTTTTTCTGAAAAAGAAGTGTAGTGTAGACATAGCCTAGGTTATCCAGAAACGTTGGGCAGCTGCCAGGCTTTTTCTTTCCTTTTTTTTTTCTTTTTTTTTCTCTACTGCTTTCATTTATCACACAGATAGGGAACCTTTTTTGGTCAGGGGCCGCTGACCCATAGAAAACTCAGTCAGGGGCTGCACGCAAATGAGAAGTTTAAAAAAAACAACAACCCCTCACTGACCTGGTCCCTGACTTGGAAGGAGAAAGACAGTCCCCATATTCCCCTTGCACACCAGAGCCTAGGGGGCCCAGACTACTAGATTTGTGTGCTCCAGTCCTGTGGGGAGACAGCAGGAGGGGAGGGGGAGGCTCTGGAGCACCAGTCTGGGCTCCCCAATACTGAGGGGGCCCCTTGTGCTTCAGGGGCCAGATCCGGGCAACTTGGAGGCCACGTCCAGCTCCCAGGCCTTACATTCCCCACCCCTGTTTTATAATGTACAATAACCTGGAAGACAAACACACAGCTCTTGTATTCATCCGTCAGTAGATCAGAGGAGTTGACCATGTGTTATGAAAACCGGAATCTACCCTTTGTTTCATAAACAATGTACTAATGGCACTACATGACATTTATACATTGTATTTGTTCTGTTTATACTAGGGATGTTAAAATATGTTTCTTTTTGTAAATGTGTAACCCCTGAATTTTTTGAAGCCATCATGTGGACTGCAGGTGTAGGCTGATTGGGTCATGTGTTGAGTCTTGGTCCATGACTAAGTTCCCAAGCACTACAGTAATATAAATAATAAGTAATAAAATAATTTCTGTAATCAGTGGAAGATGTATTGTAACATTGCAACTTTGTTGTGCTCATTTTGAAGACCTTCAGTGGCGATTTTTCATTTCTCTTTGATTGTCATTAATCTAATCAAGAGTAGAGTTTAATAGGAACCAGATTTTCCATTTTATGGAAAATTTTGTTGTTTTGAAATTCTATTCCAAAATTGATGAAAAGAACAACATCAAAAAATTCAAAATTTTCTGTGATAAATTTGTTCCAGGTTTACCAAAATGAAACATTTTAATAAAAATTGAATTGTGTGTTTGCCCATATCTTTTTGAAATGTTTTAAATAAAAACAATGAAATTTGTTTCAAAATGTGTTATTGAAACAAGAAATCAAAATGTTGCATTCTGAAAGTTGACATGAGACTTTTGACGTTATCAAAATGCTTCATTTTGGGATTTTTTACAAAATGAATTTTTATTGAAATCTGTATTTTTTTAACATACTGATTTTGATGAAAACTGATTTCTTTTTTTGTCAAAAGGTTTTTCAACTAAAAATTTCTAACCATCTGTAACCGGAAGCCATTGAAATAAGTGGAAAGACACCATTTCTTGTTCACTTGATTAGATTTTGGACCAGATCCTGTGAGCATTCAGACATTTTTAACCCCCCCTCATTTAAGCCAGAGTCCTGCAGTGAGTTCTGTCAATAAATCACTCTGCCCCTTTGAAATCAGTGGGGTTCACATGTGTGCATGGGTAATACATGCAGAGCTCATTGCAGGATCAGAGCCTTAAAGGGTAGGAGTAAAGTGTTAATTTATAATCCGATAAAAGATTTTAGCAAGCCCTACTTGTTTTAGGAGCTCCTTGGTTGTTTTATTTAAAAAAATCTTTGATTAATAGTATGGTAAGTCATTTTGGGCTTTCTTCTGCAGGGGAATGGCAGGAGCCTGTGATGATGGGAAATGTTAAGCAAGAGGGCTGTGTCTACACTGGCCACTTATTCCGGAAAATCAGCTGCTTTTCCGGAATAACTTGTCAGCTGTCTTCACTGGCCCCTTGAATTTCCGGAAAAGCACTGACAATCTAATGTAAAATCATCAGTGCTTTTCCAGAAAAACTATGCTGCTACCGTTTGGGCAAAAGTCCTTTTCTGGAAAACTGTTCCGGAAAAGGGCCAGTATAGACAGCAAAGATTTATTTTCCGCAAAAAAGCCCCGATCGCGAAAATGACGTTCGGGGCTTTTTTACGGAAAAGCGCGTCTAGATTGGCCACGGACGCTTTTCCGGAAAAACATCCTGCCAATGTAGATGTGCTTTTTCCGAAAATGCTTAACGGAAAACTTTTCCGTTATAAGCATTTCCAGAAAATCATGCCAGTGTAGACGTAGCCGAGAAGTCTAGAGACACAGCTCATGTGTCCATGTTTTGATCAAATATTGAGCATGGCTTGGCTCTCTGCACTTCCCTAAGCAGTTTGCACGTTCAGCGCTCTGTAAGTGTGCGTGCGTTCCTAGCAGTCAGAATTGGCTAGCCACATGGATGGTTGTAGCAGACTTATGAACCGGCTTCAGCAAATTCTGCCTCTTAAATATTGTGAAGCCATTTCATTTTATTGTTTTAATTGAAGACAGTGGCTTGTGATCAGAAAAGGAATGTGTTTATCTCGATTCTTCATCCGTTAATCATAAACATATGGATTCTTGTACCCTTGAGTAATAATGACAGTGTCTTTCTTTTAATGGACTACAGTAGTGCTTAAATACTTTCCAGATGCTATAACTGCAAATCTTGATGTCTGTAATTAAAAGTATTGTATATGATAAATGTAAGGAAAGATCATGGAATACTATAAACAGTTCACGAAGCAAATTTAATTGTCTTGGTTAAAATAGGCATGTTTTTCATTTCCTCCCTCGTCACTGAAGTGTTGCCATTGATCTACAAAACTGGTAGACGGGTTACAGGAGTATCACAGGAACACGTGGTGTTTGTTCATGTTTACAGAGTTCCCTGTAAGCTGAGCATTTGGGCGGTCACCCAGGAGAGAGTCAAATGATGCCCAGTTGATTAGCAGAGTGCCCACAGCTGGCTGCATGTGTTTCAACTGGTGATGCACATCCACACATGCCTCAGTGCACAAAACAAAATTTATTCTGCACTCAGATAAAAAATGAGAGACACCAGATAGGATACCAAATACAGTATTTCTATCGCATTAATTTCCTCTTGAGCTGTTTGTTTAGACCCCAATTCAGCACATCTAAGCACATGCTTAAGTTCCATTTAAGTCAGTGGGATATACGTAGGGCCCTACTAAATTCACGGCCATAAAAAATGCGTCATGGACCATGAAATCTGGTCTTTTGTGTGCTTTTATCCTACGCTATACAGATTTCATGAGGGAGACCAGCGTTTCTCAAAACTGGAGGTCTTGACCCAAGGAGTTGCTTGCAGGGGAGTCACAAGATTATTTTAAGGGGGTCATGACTAAGGATGTTAAAATGTGGTTAATTGACCAGTTGATGGAATTAATTGACTGGTCAATAGGCACTTCCTCATTCTTCCTTTGAAATGTACAAGAGCCCCCAATTTTGCAGCAGCCTCCCCTGCTTCTGCACTGCTGCCTCTAATAGAGGTAGCAATGTATGTGGGAGGGCAGCTGGCACCATAGAGCTGGTGTTGGGGGAACTGGCTTTTAATCCGACTCCCCTCAGCACTGGCTCTTTCCTGTCCCCTCCCCCTGCTACCTCTGTAGGAGACAGCAAGGTGGGGGCAGAAGGGTCCGCGGAGCTGGCACACGTGGAGAGCTGCTTAAAAGCTGGCTCCTCACATGTATGAGCTCCTGCCTGCTCTCCCCTCCCCCCCTGCTGCTGCCTCTGATACAGAGGCAGCAGCATGGTGGGGGAGGGGAGCGGTGCATATGTGGAACGGTGCTTGTCAGGAGCCAGTTTAAAAGCCAGCTCCCCAAGGGCATGGGCCCCGCCCCTGCTGCCTCTGATACAGAGGCAGCAGGGGGAGGGGAATGCATGTAGCCAACAGGATTAACCAATAACCCGATGATTATCAGTTAATTGTGGAATCATCTACACGCTGACATCCCTGTTCAGAACAAGGTGGCCGTGGAGTGGCAGCTGTTGGCCAGGGGCTCATCTCTGAAGGCAGTGCCCTACCAGTAACAGCAGAGAAGTAAGGGGGGGGTAATACCATATCAGGCCTTCCTTTCTTTTGCACTGCTGATGGCAGTGGCTCTCCCTTCAGAGCTGGCCTCCTGTCCAGCAGCCGCTCTCCAGCTGTCTGGCTCTGAAAGCAGCACCTGCGCCAGCAACAGCGCTAACATAAGGGTAGTAGTGCCACAAACTTCCCAACAATAACCTTGTGACACCTCCTCCTCCATGCAATTCCTGTTTGGGGTCAAGACCCCTTGAATTACAACACTGTGAAACTTCAGATTTAATTTGAATTTGGTAGGGCCCTAGATAGAAGTATGCGCTGAAATGCTCTGGTGAATTGGAGCCACAATGGGGAATACAGTCATATACAAAAGCGGTGAAGGGAAACTGAGTGTACGCTGTCAGATATGGTAAGACAAAGATGCATTTTTCATCAAATGAGCATACAGTGAATTTACCTTGGAATAGTCAGTGTCACAGAGGTTAAGGCCAGAATATTGCTGAGCCTCATTTGCATACCTAACGAGCCACCATTTTTTTCAGAAGAGGCTCTTGCGCAAGAAGGAGCATCTAACACTGCCCCTTCTTGCGCAAGAAAAACCCTCTTGCGCAATGCCGTTACACCTATTACTTGAGAGCCTCTTCTGAAAAAAATGGTGGCTCGTTAGGTATGCAAATGAGGCTCAACAATATTCCACGCTTAGCCTCATTTGCATATTACTCACGCAAGAAGCCGCGAGTGTAGACATAGCCTTAGTGTTTTGTGTGTCTAGAGGTAGAAAAGCCATACATCTGTTACGCTTCTATCTTTCTGCCATAATATTTAGAGAATGTGTCTAGAAAGAATTGGAAAAATTCCATTTTTTTTGTGTGAAAATGTTTGAAAATTTTTCATCAAAAAATTTCAATCCCTTTGGGCTGAATGAAAACCAATAAGAAGGGCTTGATACTTTCCAAAATACTGCCAACTTTTCAAAAATTTTAAACTAGATCTGTATCTCTTTCCTTGCATATTCTATATATTTCTATGAAAATATCCATTGACAATAAGCATTGTAGAACCTCACAAACTCACACCCTTAATCAACAAGTTTGGGTGTGTTCATTAAAAACCCACTAGACTTTCTGTTTAACGACCCGTTGCTGTAATGAACTCTTTTACTTTTTCTCTGGCAGGATGGAGAAGAAGAAAATTCTGATGAAATCCAAAGTCGCTGCGTCAAATCTTCTGAGCGCACTGCATTCACTCTATCAGTTTGGCCACTTCTGTGATGTGACTGTCCATACCGAGCATCTAGGGATCCAGGAGGAGTTTCTGGTTCACAAGGCTGTCTTGGCTGCTTCCAGCAATTATTTTAAGGGGCTTTTTCTTCACGATGAGATGTTGGACGCTAAGAATTGTACCGTAACTCTACAGGACATATACACAGAAGAATTCACTTCCTTTCTAGAATTCATCTACACTGCAGAAGTAGAGATTGATGCAGAAAAGTTGCATCGGATGAAGGAGGTAGCTGAGAGACTTGAGTGCAAAGATTTGTTGGACATTTGTGAAGAAATGAAGGCAGAGGGTGGAAAAGGGTTAGATTTGAGTGTCTATTTGAAAGGTCAGATACATGAAAATGGTGGGTCCCAGTGGGCTCATGTCCAGCAAGCAGAAGACAATGAAATGAATGATTCTGCCCAAATTTCGCTAACATCCATGAAAAGGAAATTTTGGGACAGCCAGAAATGCAGAAAATTGCCACCCAGCTACGAGAATGTTGATGGTCAGCCTGCAAATTGCAATAAAGATAGGACAGAATTTCTGGAGTCGAAAGCTGAGATGGCAAAATCAGACAAAGGTAACAAAATAGAGACCGGTGAAATGACTGACATGGATACAGTCAGCCCAGAGGAAAACAAGACAAGCCATTGTGTCCTAAATCGGTCAGACTCAAAGCAAACCTGCATAGTGATTAAAAACATGCTTCCCAGCCTGGAGGAGGATGAAAACAGTTTAATTTCTGAGCTACCCAGTAAAACTGAATGCAGGAAATCCCCTCGCAATGTATCAAAAGTCCTGCCCCAATTGTACACCTGTGAGAAGTGCAACCAGCCCTTCCATTTCGTCAAACACTACCAGTCGCACATGGCGCTGGAACACGACATCCGTATTGTCCTCAAGTATAGCTGCAATCTGTGTGACCAGCTCTTCTCGAACCGCCAGAACCTCCGGCAGCACCGCCTGACGGTTCACAACGACCAACGGCGCTTTCCGTGCGTGTTCTGTGAGAAGAAGTTCAAGCGCCGGAAGGATATCAATGACCACATCCGGCGGGTGCATGAAAAGAAGAGGAACCCCCAGGCGTGTCCGTACTGCCACAAGGTGATCAGCTCCAAATGCGGCCTGAGAGTTCACATTCGAACCCACACTGGAGAGAAGCCCTATAGATGTGAACGTTGCCCCGCCAGCTTTGCTCAGAGATCTGCTTACAATACCCATGTAAGGTACAGCATTTCCTGTGTGTGTGTCTGGGCACTAGGAGAGGAATATTTTCACGGTCCTGATCGCTTCAGAGCTCGTATGCTTTGTGCTAGTGAGTACAGTGGACTCTGGGGTCAGGATAGTATCAGTTTGCAACAGCATTGGACTGACATTTTCAATGCCATACAGGGGATTAAAATGCACGCTTCCCATTGAAATTAATGAGAGTTGTGCAGCTAAATCTCCTTTGAATGTCTCAGCCTTTGGGTTTCAAATTAGGGATGTGATGGTGTATATGTGTAAACGGTTAACCGATGAGCCTGGACTCATTGGATAACAGTCACGGTTACACACAGCCCTGTCCCCTCCTCCCCCCGACCCACCTCCACACACTGCTGCCTCTGTATCAGCCCCCTCCTCTCCTTGGGTGTAAACGTGTACCTGCTGAAATTTTCTACACGTCTACCAAAATAAACACATTTTAACATCCCTGTTTCAAATATGAGCCAGGGAGAACTGTAAAGCATTACAAATGAACAAGAAAATGATCCTTTCATAATGACCTGGCTAACGTGGTGATCACAAATCTTTTTTTTTATCATTTTGAAATCTTTCCCAAAGTGCAGTGCCTAGAGCTGGAAACAGTGCTCTAATTGAAGTCTTATCAGTGCCCAGTAGAATGGGACAGTGGTTCTTAAACAGGTTTAAGCATACTCCTGGAGGTACGCAAGCAACTTCCAGAGGATACATCAGCTCTTCTACATATTTGCCTCATTTTAGAACAGTCTCCCTGAAAAGCACATAGTAAAATCGGTGCAAACTAATGACTTCTTTACACTGTTCCATATACTATAGCAGCAGTTCTCAAACTATGCAGCAGTATGTTTTAATGGGATAGCCAGGGCCTATACCTATAGTAGACTTTTTGGCGCTTGGGGCTAAAAGCTGTAGGTAAGGTGAAACTTGGGGTATTGACAGAGCAGACGCCTGAAAGGGGTGTGGTAGTCTGGACAGGCTGACTTTTCATGTCCTGCTTACTTACATCCCAGAATGACGTTTGCTGTTTTTTGCAAGAACAATACATTGTTGACACCTGTGTTGCAAATATTTCATCAATGTGCAGCGCATTGTAACAAGGAACTCAAGTTTATGCTAAAGTGATGAATCTCCGTTCTGCTTTCTTATCCACCTTCCCAACATTGGGAATTTCTTCCATGTATTTTAGAGCCAAATAATACCCTTGCATTGTGGGGAAATCGCATATACAATTAAAGTGAAACATTGGTTTTGTGGTTTGAGAGACACACAATAAAGTGTTCCATGGTCAAATGTGGTAAATATAATGTATTTCTTTAAGGCGGTACCAGGGTGAAATGCAGTAGGTATTTTAAAAGTATGCCATTTAGTATGTATTGATTTGAGTTTAATTACAAGCAAAGCAAGATGATCTCAAATTGTATTTGCAAGAACCCATTTATTAGACTGCATTTACACTTTTTCATGATATTAGTCAGGTAACACACAAGTTCACTTTAGAGTTGAAACTTCTGCTAGTGCCTCGCTGTAGTCTCCATTGCTAGCTGTGAAACCAAGAATACGTATCAGTTTACGTAATGCTTCTACAGAATTACTTGCACAAGACATTTTAGTTATCATTAATTATGTAGCTTTACCTTTCTGCAATGTGTCCTTGCTCTGGCTCTCCAGTTTTTTCTCCCAGTTTGTGAAAGGCATCACTAAAATGAATGAGAAACCCTATTGCTTCTGTGTGCATGCTTATAAAACCAGGTGTTTATCTCTCCTATCGTGTTTTGTTTTTAACAGAAAAATACATGAATCTGGGCAAGACAGGAAGCTTTTGCCAGTCTACTGGATGGTAGTTCCACCTGCTGAGAGAGCAGATGTAACCTTTTGTGAATCAGATATTAGCAAAGAAACATGGGATGCGGCCTCAGATGGATTGCAAAAAGGTGCTAAGCGCAAAAAAACCATGGACAATGAAGAAGAACCAGGGAGTTCATCAGATGCACAAGTGGATTGCAGCAATGCAAGAGAAGAAAGGAAGCCACCATATGATGAAACTGAAGCTAACAAAGAAGACGAAAATGAAGGTGATGAGGATGAAGAAGAAACAAATGTGAAAGGAGAAGGGGAGGGAGATTACAATGTGGTTTATTCTGAAGTAGATGATGGTAAAGATAACGAGAATGTTTGTACAGATGATGACGATGACTCGTCTAATGATAAAGACGCTGAAGAAAATGAATCGGATGAAGACTTTAAAATAAAGAAGGTAAATAAAACCAGAGTCACTAAGAAGTCTGCCTATGTTATTACATGCGATAAATGTGATGAGCAGTTTGTGTCCCGGAAAAAATATGTGGATCACTGCAAAGATGTCCACCAGTCCTTGCCTGGGAAAGTCTATCGATGTGATATCTGCAGCAAGTCGTTCGCTAGCTACAACAGCTGGAAAGAGCACAGAGCATGTGTGCATACGGAAGAAAGGCAGTTTGCCTGCACCCTCTGCAATGCTACATTTAAAAGAAAGAGAGACGTAAGGACACATTACATTCGGAAACATGAAGGGAGAGTGAAGCGCCCGCTGTGTTCAGTCTGTGGGAAGATCTTGAGCTCGCGAACTGCCCTGGTGTTTCACATGCGGACGCACACAGGGGAAAAGCCCTACGAATGTAGCGTTTGTCATTCGAAATTTGCACAGCCATCACAGCTTAAGATCCACACCAGGTCAGGTACCGCTTCTCCCGTTACTGAACCCTGCATACACTTTGCCCCAGAAGACCTTTTCTTGTATGACTCCCTATCTCCCAGTCATCTTTCTGCAGTACGCGTGTAACAGCGGAAGACTGGGCTTTATTTTGGCCTGTAATATCAATAACTAATGAAGTGTTTCATTCTTTTATTTTATGTAAAGTTGTTTATTCCAGGGTCATCAACTCACCCTTGGGAAAGAATTAAATCATAGCAGTACCATTCCTTCATAGGCAAGCATATACCTCTAAAATATTGAGCCAGAAGCTCAACTAATGTAAAAAATGTCATGAGAGGAAGGATTGCTCAGTAGTTAGGGCACTAGTCTCAGATTTAGGAGACTCGGGTTCAGTCCCTTTTCTGCCACAGACTTTTCACATGTCATTTCGTTTCTCTGTGCCTCAGTTCCCCATCTGTAAAATGGGGACAGTAGCACTGCCCTTCTTCACAGAATTAGTGTTGGGAGAAATACATTAACAAGATTGTGGAAGTGCTTGGATACTTTAAAATTAAGTGCTCTCTCTATACATCTCCAGTATCTATCTTTCTATCTAAATAAAATCTCCAGTAGAGCTCTGCTGATTTACACTTATATTAGTTCCTGCCCTGAAAGTCAGCATTATACCAACAAATCAAGGAAGTTTAGGGTTTGTTTGCATGCCCCCTCTTGTTCAGCGTGCAGCCTTTTGACTGATGTCTCAAAATCGTTTGTAGTCTTGCATATTGTATAACATGACCTGAAATGGGGAAGCACAGCACAGAAAGTTCCAGATGTGGGACGTTTGGCTCAGAATGTCCTTTTTTTAGCTCGTTTAAAATCAGATTCTAAGGGTATATTCTAAAACACGTCTTGCAAGGTTATCCCTTCATGACCACACTCTTTAAAAATAGGAACATCCTCGTGAGTTAAAGATCAAGATTCAGACCCTCAGCTGGTGCAAATCTGTTTGTGTGATTTACGTGAAGTTGAGAATGGTAGCTCTGCCTGGTAACTAAAATGAAAGCAGAATTGTTGAAAAGCCAATATTTAAATTGAAATCACCAATAGGACCAAGTCTTTCTTCCATGGAGTGTCTGGCCCAGTATGTTTGTCACAGTTATAAAGTGAGGTCATCAGTACTTGCTACATTTCAGTGGGTGATTGTACGTGTCCTTGTCTTTGGGACAAAAAAAAAAAATCTCGATAAACTTAAGTAATATATTTGTGTAAATGTCTAGGAACCACATGTTATATGCAGCATAGTTGTAGCTTGTTGGCCCCAGGATATTAGAGAGCCAAGGTGGGTGAGGTAATATTTTACTGGACCAACTTCTGTTTGGGTGAGACAAAGCTTACGAGCCACACGAAGCTAATTCTACACTGGGGGCAATGTCAAACAGGTACACAACTCCAGCGACGTGAATAGCGTAGCTGGAGTTGACATACCTTAGATCGAGTTCCCACTGTGGGGGCTCAACAGGAGAAAACTCTCCAATAAACTCCCCATATGCGTCTCGAATTGGTGGAGTACCAGAGTTGATAATGTGATCAGCAGTTGATTTAGCATGTCTTTACTAGACCTGCTAAGTCGACTGCTAGGGGATCGATCCCCACAGTGCCAATCTTCTAGTAAGTGTAGACAAGGCCTAAGATCTTTCTCAGGTCATCTGCTGTCTCTGCACTCACTGTGATTCTCTCTCCTTTAGCTTTCTTCACCTGCTAAGTGAAGCAAGCTGCCCTTCTATTTGAAATAACCCATGGCTTTATTGGTTCGTGGCTGGATTGTAGCAATAGCATATATATATTCACACAAGGAGATGATTGGTCTTGGGAGAGTCTCCAAGGAGTAGGATATTCATCACTCTGACACCTCATCAGGCGACCAGTATAGAGCAATAGAATGGTTGTTTGAACAAGGGATATTAATGTGTAACCAGTTACCCAGAAAGCATCACCCTTAACAGGTGACGCAGCCTGTGCCCAGTCGTCCCGCTCTGGGCCAGAAGTCGTGGGGCTGCAGAACCCCCCCGGCCCCCTTTAATCAGTTAACTGGTTAAGTTTACTATTTAACTGGTTAACTGATTAAAGAGAATTTTATATTCCTCGTTTGAACAGGCTGTCAATTCTTTTGGCAGCAGCGTTTAGGCCTGATGCTGCTGTTGGAGCACGAAGGAAGGAAAAGAAAGGAACAGCCAGAGGAAAATCTTGCCTGCTCCCCTTTAAGGCGTTGTAAGGGAATAATCCTCCACTGGCGGGAATCAGCTGGGCTCCTTCAGATTAACGAAGCTACACTGACTTACTCCTCCTGAGGCATATGACTGTTGCTGCCCACAGTTCTCTAGGGCCACTCCCAAAACACACACTCTGAGCATGCAAAATCCCAAGCATCAGGTAGGGTCTTTCATTGCAGCAGGGCACCTTGGAATCCCAATGCATCTTTGGTGGGAGATGCATGCGGACCTTCAATTTCCTTAGGATTTTATGCCAACTCCCATATAGGAAATCTAGGCAAACTCTCCAGGACTGTAATATCCACAGCACAAGAAATGAACATTGCGGGGGAATGGCTACTGGAAAATCCCCTAGCTCATCTCCAGACTTGTCAGTTCATCGCCCTCGTGTGCTTGTTTATGAAAGTTTAAAAAAAAAAGGCTTGAACCCCAGCACCTCTTTCCTTACAAATTAAGCGCAGCCTGTCTAGCTGTGTTTTCTCAATCTCTCTCTGTGCTTCCTTGCCTGTAGGTCGCATACGGGCGAAAAGCCATACATTTGTGAGGACTGCGGGGCGTGCTTTGCTGACAAAGGCAAACTAAATGGTCACAAGAGGACACATACAGGTAGGAATTAAACTCTCTGGGCCAGATTCACGAAGGACTATTCCCCTCCCTGTATCATTCTCACTAGGGATGTAAAGTCCTGTTAAACCATAGGTTAACCAATTAAGTGAGATGTGGGGAGAACTACTCCAGCCCAGCTGGAGCAGCCCCCAGGGATACTGCTGTCCCCCTCACCTCTTGCTGTCACCTCCCCCAACCCCATCAGCCCTGCATGGGGTTGCTGCTGCCACCACTGGCCCCATGTGGAGATCCCGGCCCCATATGGGGCTGGAGCAGCCCTCCACTTGCAGCAGACTGGTCCTGGGTATAGGTTAATCACTACCCAGTGTGCTTCTCCCAATGAGGATGTTGCTTACTGGGTAACCGGTTACCCATTCACATCCCTAATTCTTACCGCTATTTGGTCATGTTGAATGCAAGTCATCTGCAGGGCATCCAGGTAGAAAAAAAGTCATCCATGTTCCTAACCTCGGCAGCAGGGGATAGGGAAGTGCATAGTGTATTTTTAGCTCTTGGGAGGTATCAGGTGATGTAGCATGTGGGCACTTGAGTAGGGAGACATTAGGAAGGCTGAGGAGATGCAAAACTGAAGAAGGAGATCGGGATAGAGGGGCGGAGTTGGGAGTCATCAGCATAGAAATGGCAGCTGAGGTCAGTGAGTGAATAGTTTCATCCAAAGAAGACTGGAAAGAGTTGCAAAGGGATCTCACAAAACTGGGTGACTGGGCAGCAAATTGGCAAATGAAATTAAATGTTGTTACATGCAAAGTAATGCACACTAGAAAACACAATGCCAACTATCCATGCAACATGATGGAGTCGAACTTAGCTGTTACCACTCTAGAAAGAGACCATGGAGGTATTGTGGCTAGTTCTCTGTAAAAGTCTGCTTAGTGTTCTGTGGCCATCAGAAAAACTGACAATGGTAGGACCTGTTAAGAAAGGGATAAATAACCAGACCGAAAATACCATCATGCCTCTCTATAAATCGGTGGAATGCCTGCAGCTTGAATACAGGCAGTCCCCGGGTTACGTACAAGATAGGGACTGTAGGTTTGTTCTTAAGTTGAATTTGTATGTAAGTCGGAACTGGTACATATTGTAGGGGAAACTCTAGCCAAACATTTCTCCAGAGCTCAGTTTTATTCTCCCACACCTCACTTCCCTCAGGGTATTATTCTCAAGCTGAGGTGTCTGCTGAGAAAAGCCCCTCCGCATCTCCCTGGTCTGCTGGGGGGAGCGCTAGCTTCACGTCTCCCTGGTCTGCTGGGGGGAAGCACCTAGTGTGGGGTTGCCTCACCCCGTTTGTAAGTAGGGATTCGATGTAAGTCGGATCCATGTAACCCGGGGACTGTCTGTACTTAAGAGCATAAGGGCCACACTGGATAAGACCAAAGGTCCATCTAACCCAGTGTCCTGTCTTCCAACAGTGGCCAATGCCAGAGGGAATGAACAGAACTGGGAGTCATCAGGTGACCCCTCCCTTGTCACCCATTCCCAGCCTCTGACAAATAGAGGCTAGGAACACCATCCCTACCCATCCTGGCTAATAAGTATTCATGCAGATCTGGTCACCCAGTCTCAAAAAGGATATATTGGAATTGGAAAAGCTACAAAGACAAGCCACAAAAATGATTAGGGGGTTGGAACCATTTCCCTATAAGGAGAGCTTAAAAAAAGACTGGGACTTTTCATCTTGAAAAAGAGCTACTGAGGAGAGCTATGAAAGGTGTGTAGAACGTTGGTGATGTGGAGGAAGCGAATAAGGAAGTGTTGCGTCCTCCTTCACAGAAGAGGAGAACTAGCAGCCAACCAATGAAATTAAAAGGCAGCAGGTTTAAAGCAAACACAGGGAAGCCCAGTCCACCTGTGGAATTCTTTGCCAGGCGAGGCTGTGCAAGCCAAAACGATAACGAAGTTCAAAAAAGAGCTAAATAGGTTGATGGAGCCTAGGTACATCACTAGCTATTAGGGTGGGCAGGGATGCCACACCATGCTTGCAGTGTCCCTAGCCTCTCTTTGCCTGAAGCTGACATGGACCATTTGATGATTCTCTGTTCTGTTCATTCCCTCTGAAACACCTGGCATTGGCTGCTGTCAGGACAGGATACTGGGCTATATGGACCATTGGTCTGACCCAGTATGGTCATTCTTAATGAGGTCACATAGAGAAAGGATGAGGAGGGAAAAAAGGACTCAGCCCTGAGGGATGCTAACAAAGCATGATGGAGGGGAAACCAGCTGCGAGCCACTTTTGATTCATGGAAATCAAAAGATTGAAGACAGTCCCGAAGAAGGGAATGATTGACTATGTCAAAGGGAGCAAGAGGGCAAGTATGGGGAAAAAAAATAAAGTTGGCCAGGAGGAGGTAACTAGTAAGAGAGTTCAGAATGTCTTTGGTTTTTTTACAGGAGAGCGTCTCTTTAAATGTGATGTGTGTGGAAAACATTTTGCCACCAATGAATACTTGAAGTGCCATAAGCGATGCCACATGGGAGCTAAGCCCTATAAATGCGATGTTTGTGGGAAAACGTTTGGACTGAGGGCCTCGTTAGCCCAACACAGTAATGTCCATGCAGGTAACAAAGCAAGGAGATGTTGGTTTTAGTAGAGGAGTAGATATGGATGAAAGTTTTGATCTGAAATTGCTTGCAAAAGGGGAATTAGCCTTTAATTCAGTGTTCTCTTTGGCGAGCTCTACCAGTAGATTGAGCTGGGAGTGATTCAGAGCTAGAGTTTATATTTCCTCTTATTTTTTTTGTAAGAGATAAAACTATTCCTACAGAATTTAAACATTAATAAACATACCTTGCATTGCCTCTTTGATCATTAGATCATTGATCATTTGGTCGTTAGATGTGGTGAGCCACATGCAAACACTTACGCATATTCTTAACTTTACTTATTTGCATAACCTGACTAAAGCAATCCAGGACACGCCCCTCTCTCCCTCAAATGCCCATCCTCTGTGGTCATCACACCATCAAAGGGTAGATTCCTGGCTGGTGCAATGACAAGGTGGCACCTAATGTTCTCTGTAAACTGAGCGCTTGGGCATCCACCCAGATGAGATTCAAATGCCACCCAGCTGATTAGCAGAGTGCCCACAGCTGGCAGCATGAATTTCTATTGGTGGTGCACATCTGCACATACCTTGGTGCACACAACAATATTTATTCTACACATGGATGGGAAAAAATTAGAAGGAACATTGGTGGCAAATCCCTTTCCCTTTCCCTGTTCTGGCATGTACTGTAGGGCCAGGTAGCTACCTCCCTGTGCAGACTGAGGCAGACTCTGGCCTGTAGGATAGATTGTACTTGGGTCACACTTTCAAGCTATTTTTTACAACAAGGAGGGCTAGAAATATTCATCACTAGCTTGTGGGAGCCAGGGCTGCTGTTCATATGCTTTAATCTGCTCACATAAATCAAGTTAAGCATGTGCCAATGCATCTGCAGGATCAGGCTCAAAAGGGCTGACTGATGTGGTTATGGTTGTGGGGGTTGTTTGTTTGTTTGCAGAGACTCGCCCATATTTCTGCGAACAGTGTGGAAAAACATTTACTCAGCAAGGAGCTCTCAGGCGTCACCAGCGTATTCACACCGGTGAAAAACCATACAAGTGCCGGGCTTGTGAGAGAACCTTCACAGACATGTCCACCTTACGGAGACACGTCTTGGTACGTTGCTGCCTTGCAGCCTTTATAACGGTAAACCTGATACCGAAGTTTAATTGAGGTGAAGAGGTGATTTTTTTTTTTTTAATTTACTGGGGATTAGAATTTATCCTTCAGTTTTTGATTCCTAATGAAAAATAAAACCTGTTAGGACAAGGGAAAGAACAAAAATGCTGATTTATAATTATATCATGCTTTTTATACTGTTTATTAGGGTGCCAAATGATTATTAAAAATTGTAATTAATTGAGATTTTTAAAAAAGTCACAATTAAATGCAGTTTTAATCACACTTCTTAATAATACCAATTTAAATGTATTATAAATATTTTTGGATGTTCTGTATTTTCAAATACTGTATATTGATTTCAGTTATACAACCTGGAATGGAAAGTGTACAGTGCTCACTTTATATTTTATTATAAATATTTGCACTGTAAAAAAGATAAAAGAAATAGTATTTTTCAATTCACCTCATCCAGGTTCTGTAGTGCAATCTCTTTATCATTAAAATGCAACTTACAAATGCAGAAAAACATTTTGGTACGTAACTGCACTCAAAAACAATATAATGTAAAGCTTTAAAATCTATAAGTCCACTTAGTCCTACTTCTTGTTCAGCCAGTCACTGAGACAAATGAGTTTGTTTACATTTACGGGAGATAATGCTGCCCACGTCTTATTTACAATGTCACCTGAAAGTGAGAACAGGCGTTCACATGGCAGTGTTGCAAGTATTTATGTACCAGATGTGCTAAATATTCATATGCCCCTTCATGCTTCGGCCTCCGTTCCAGACATGCTTTGCCGGTTGAGTTAACTTTGATTAGTTGACAACCCTGTTATTCACTGTTTATACTATTGTAACACCTAGCTTCCCCGCTCACAGACCAGAGCCCTGTTATGGTAAATATGAAACAAACAAGGTCTCTGCCCCAAAGAGCTTACAATCTGAAAAAAAAAAAAAGGATTTCTGAGCTGTTAGATTCAGGAAGAGAAATCTAACCCCCAAATAAGGTATCAATTCCCAGGTCTGACAGCCAAACCGGTCACTTTGAACCCAGTTATTTTTAAACAGCAACATCTGATCCTATAGGAAATGAAGTATGAGGAAAGACAAGAGCCTAGCTAATGTAAAGAGGATGCTGCTATAGCCGGAGTCTTGTTTTTAAAACCACAATTAGAGGCCTCCTTAGGCCTTATTTGTAGCTGGACCTGAACCAGACCCAAACCCAAACCCAATCAACCCAATCCTTATCTGGTCTGCAAATGAGTCAGTACCATCACCGCCTCCTGCCTGTGCAGCTGGTATCTGGGTAACTGCATGTGTTGGAAACTGTGTTGTCTGCTGGCTGCCACCCCACACTGTGCTGTGTGCACTGTGGATTGAGAGTCACTGCCACTCTTTGGCACACTTCCTCTGTGACTGTAGCACATGCAGCGTAGCAAGGTAGTAGTGACTTGCAGGAGCGGGGAATGCGGCTGGCACAGGAAGGAGGAGAGCTGACCCCAGCCAGAGACGATCCAGGTGTTTTTCTACCCTGTCTGCCCTTGAACACTTGTAATCAGGGTCCGTTGGGTTTGGGTTGGATTGCAGGTCTTTGGTAGCAAATGCTGTGGAAAGTGGCTTAGTACTTGTACTGTAGATCTAGGACACCGTATCTTACTATTTCTGAAACTTCAGACGCATTCTCTGAGTTTTAATAGGACATGCAGCTCAAAGCGATACATTGGACTGCAAGCAAAATCACTAGGGCTATGTCTACACTAGCAGCTTCTTGCACAAGAACATCTTGCGCAAGGGTTCTTGTGCAAGAACACGTCCACACTGCCATGTGCTAACTGTACTTTTGCGCAAGAGCACCCATGGCAGTGTGGATGCTCTCTTGTGCAAGAAAGCTCTGATGGTTGTTTTAGCCATAGGGCTTTCTTGCGCAAGAAACCCCGGCCGAGCGTCCACACTGCCCTCTTGTGCAAGAGCTCCTGTGCAAGAGGGCTTACACCTGTTAAAAAAGAGCATAGCTCTTGCGCAAGAAGCCCTCTCTTACCACGCCGTACTGTAAATTTCCTTGCGCAAGAGCAGGCGGGCCATGTGGATGTTCTGCGGATTCTTGCGCAAGAACTGCCATACTTGCGCAAGAAGCCGCGAGCGTAAACATAGCCTAGGGGTATGTATACACTGCAGAGTTTTTTCGGAAAAACTTCATTTTCATCCACACTGCAGTCACGTTCTTTCGAGGAAAAAACGCTGAAAGAACAGAGGGCTTTTTCTGACATTGGTAAACCTCTTTCTACGAGGAAGAAGCCTTTTTTCCAAAAGAGCTCTTTCGGAAAAAGGTGTGTGTGAAGAGGGAGCTGTTTCGGAAGAAGAGGAAAGAGGAAAACGCACAGGTGCCCTGGTGGGCACTCTGTCCATAGTAATCACAGCTTAAATACGAGATAGCGTCCATTCAGTTTGGACGCTATCTTTCAAAAAAGCAGATTGCTTTTTCGATGCGGTTGGGCAGTGTGGACGCTCTCTTTCGAAATAAGTTTTTTCAGCAGTTATCTTCCGGAAAAGCTTCTACCGAAAGAAGCCTGCAGTCTAGACATAGCCTCGGACACCATTCTGGTCCTTGGAGTGTCTCTTTGGAGGAGGAAGCTCATGGCTTTCCCAGTTTCCCTGGTTCAAGTCTAGCATTCACCTGTTTGCTCTGAGTTGTGTTTCTGTCAACACTGCATCCTGATAATGGACCTGGAAGAGTAGAATTATTCTCACATCTCAGAGCTCAGCTAATCCCGTGGCCCATCCCACTGAACTTGAATAATAAAAATAAAATCTTACGTTGTTTTAAATCATTGTTCGGACTCTTTTCTTCACTCTATAATCTATTTTTCTTCCCACCTAGATCCATGACCGGAATGCTCACTGGAGAAGTTTCTTGATCGATCTTACTACGAAAAAAGACCATAATTGGTCCAAAATAGAAACTTTATCAGATGTCTGCATGGGTGAGGACTCAGTACCTGAAATTTGGTCAGTTGACCAAGGTAAACTTTATAAACCAGACAACATTGGTGTGAAAAAAGCAGAACAGAGACCATCTAGTGCTAACATGCGGGACACTGATCATTCCCTTATATACTTATAACTCTTATTGCTCTAGCCAGAAAATTATAAAATCTCTCAACAGACTATGAACTAAAACCTTTCAAATCTGTGTTCAATATAACGGCTTCAGTTTTACTCTATGAGATACTCTTACCTTTTTATAACTGATAGGCGATGTTACATTGCAGTCTTTTATCTTGTTATGGTAAACTATTTATGCCAATTAGGTTGTGTACAGAGTTGTGTTTTTTTGTTTTTTTTATCTTGACTATATCACACAGTAAAATACCCATTTAATTAAGTAGATATGTTTCTGTATGTATCTGTATATACATATACACGTGTGTTCTTTTACATCATCTTTATTAGAGATATTATGTTTAGAAAAAGCCACATAAACAATAATCTGTGCCGCATCTAATTTATTTGTACATATTTGATTGTAAAATATTTTAACTCTCTTAATCAATACAAAATGTTAAAACATTTGCTGTAGAAATTTATAAGCCAACTAGAACATAGTTGTTCTATGCAGTTTTCCATCTTTTGCCATTTCATTTGACTTGATACTGTGATATTTGGTTTTAACGCCTAATTATAATTTTTTTGTATACTATAAAATGAACTTCAAATTTATTTCTCAAAGTGATGGGAAACTTCTTAGTCCATATGCATAATAAACAATAATGAGCTGTGACTTATGGGCTCCATTTTATAATTCAGAGGTCTGACTGCACAACCCTAGATTAAAAGCAATAATCTTTTGCAGGGGATTTCGTTTTATTGGCCTTCTGAGAGTTTTCAGCATTTCGATCTCTAATGGCTTTCATTAGAATTGTAGATTCTAAACATACCATTCTTTTATGATTCAAAAAAGCTGCCTATTGTTGAGATTTTAAATGCAACGAAGTCAGGACATCTAGAGTTTTGTTTCTGAAACCAGTAGTAAAACACAGAACCACTGCACACCTTTAGTATTTTGCATTACTGAAATAGTCTTAATTGCATGTCTCAGAACATGGTGTGTTAAGTGTGGGGGGGGGGGATTGAAGGTTGGGCTGAAAGCAGTACTTTGAATTGCCAGATTATGGGCCCGATTAATAATTGTTGTGATGCCAAAGACAATGGAATTTCATTAGGGATTAAATTGGTCAGATTAACAATCCAGAAAATGAGGAACACACAATTCGTGTGGAAATCCTGGTTTTATAGACTTAGCATCCGATAGGAACTCTAGTTGGTGCAGGGATAGAATACAGAGTGACAAAACTGCCTACATCAGTGGTTCCCAACTGGTGGTCCGCAGACCCCCTGGTGGTCCGTGATGGTACTGCAGGGGGTCCATGGAAAGTTTAAAAGTAAGGATCGGGCCCACCTTTTTTCTCTTTTTCCTCTCTTTTTTTCTTACTTTTCCTTTCCTTTTTTTTTTTTTTATCTGACACCACTGCTCACCTCTTGCACAGAATCGCTGGGGGAAGGAGCAATCAAAGGAGCATTGCTATATTCACCTTCTCTGGAGTCTGGAAAGTACAGGCAGTCCCCGGGTTATGTACAAGATAGGGACTGTAGGTTTGTTCTTAAGTTGAATTTGTATGTAAGTCAGAACTGGTACATATAGTAGGGGAAACTCTAGCCAAACATTTCTCCAGAGCTCAGTTTTATTCTCCCACCCCTCACTTCCCTCAGTCCTTTATTCTCAAGCTGAGGTGTCTGCTGGGAAAAGCCGCTCCGCATCTCCCTGGTCTGCTGGGGGGAAGCAGCTAGTGCGGGGTTGCCTCACCCCGTTTGTAAGTAGGGATCTGATGTAAGTCGGATCCATGTAACCCGGGGACTGCCTGTATTTCTGTTTTTTATCTTTTTTTATGTAGGCAACACAGATCTGTAGTCTCAGAAGCTTCCAAAACCTTCCACTGTGAACTAAATTGCTTTGTCTCCTAGTTTAAACTGCACAATATCCACCACAGAACCAGTCCTGGTCTCTCAAAAATCACAGCGTCCTCCCTCCCAGCTCCTGGATATCAGAGACCACGTATGGGCTTTGGAGGCCAGGGTTGCTGAATCGGAGGAACTAAGGGAAGCCAAGAGGTACGTAGATGAAGCTTTTTGGGATACTGTAGAACTGTCCCACCTCCAGTCAGACAGCCCCTGTGCTGTTAAGGAGGGTGAAAGGCTCAGGGAAGGAGAACAGCCAACGAATAGAGGGAAACCATCCCATAGTTGGGACCCTCCTTCCGGATGATGTTGGGGTATCCTCTCGCAATGAGGATACCTCTCTGAAGGAGGGAACTCCAGTCATTAGGAAAAGGCAGGTGTTAGTAATGAAGGATTTGATCATTAGAAATGTAGATAGCTGGGTTTATGATGACCGGGAGAAGTGTATCGTGACTTGCTTGCCTGGTGCACATGTTGCGGATCTCTTGAAACACCTAGATAGGCTTATGTGTTGTGCTGGGGAGGAGCCGGTGGTTGTGGTACATGTAGGTACCAATGACATAGAGAAGGGCAAGTGAGAGGTTCTGGAGGCCAAATTTAGGCTGCTAGGAAAGAGGCTACTTAAGAACATAACATAAGAACATAAGAAACGGCCGTACTGGGTCAGACCAAAGGTCCATCTAGCCCAGTAGCCTGTCTACCGACAGTGGCCAGCACCAGGTGCCCCAGAGAGGGTGGACCGAAGACAATGATCAAGCGATTTGCCTCCTGCTATCCCTCTCCAGCCTCTGACAAACAGAGGCCAAGGACACCATTTTATCCCCTGGCTAATAGCCTTTGTAGGCTAATAGAAGTAGGCTAATAGCCTTCTTCTAGACCAGTGGTGTGCAATCCATGAATTGCGTTCCCCAAGGGGGTCACAGATGTCTTCCCAGGGGGTCGCGGTACTTAGATCCGGCGAGCTGGGTGCAGGGGGTCGCAGATCAAAAAAGGTTGCACAGCATTGGTCTAGACTGCAGGCTTTTTTCGGAAGAGATCTTCCAAAAAAACGTCGTCCAAAAGAGAGCGTCCATACACAAAAGTGCATCAAAAAGACTGATTGGACGCTCTCGTGCATAAAAGGCCACCTGGAACCAGTTCGGCCAGAGCTTTAGGTCACCAGTTGCTTCCAAGTGCTGGGGCCGGAGCCTGGCAGAGACACGTGCTTAAAGAGACCCCCTTGGACAGCCGTTTCTCTGCTTCTGCTGTGTGCTTGCTACCTCTTTGAGGGACAGCAAAGCTCTCTCCGTGCCTGCTGTGGTTGCCCTGTTCTTTTTTGGACACCACAGCTTTTTCCTTGGAGCCATAGAGCTGCCCCTGGGCATGCGATGGCACCACACGGCCATGCTGCAGTTTTTGCAGCACTTTGTTCCGGCTGCCTTCCTGGTCCTACATGAGCTGGACCCTGAGCTTATTCTGGGGACCCTCTCCCTGGGTGCGACTGCTACACTCTGGCAATCGCACCCCACAGGGGAGAGGTGTTTTTGGAGGCTCAACATCAGTTTGGACTGGTAGGACCGGCTGGTCCTGGAGCACTGGGACGACCCGCAGTGGCTCCAAAACGTCCGCATGTGGAAGGCCACCTTTTTGGAGCTGTGTGCCTGGCTCACCCCCGCCCTCCGGAGACATGACACCCACCTGCAGCCTGGCATCCCCCTGGAAAAGCGGGTCACAATAGCCCTCTGGAAGCTCGCCACCCCCGACAGCTACGGGTCACTGGGCAATCAGTTCGGCGTGGGGAAGTCCACAGTTGGGGCCCTCCTCTTGGAGGTAAGGCACTATCGGGCTGCAGTCCCTGCAGGGGTGGGAGAAGTGTTGGTTAAGGGGGATCCTTGGGAAAGGGGGGTTGAGGATTGTGGGAGTGGAGGAGGAAACCCCATCCCCGGGGGATTGTGCCATCCTGCCCTCCCACAGCCCTGCTACTGGGGGGGGGGGGCCTCCTAGGAGGTGGCTCTTGGGGGGGAGGGGAGAGGCAGCTGGCTGGGCATCTCCCCAGGGCTCAGGCACCCCCTCTCTTTCTCTGTTTTGTGTGTTTGCCTCCTTCTGCAGGTGGTGAGGGCCATCAACTCGATCCTGCTGCAGAAGGTTGTCCGTCCGGGAGACCTGGACGCAACTGTGGCTGGTTTTGCTGCCCTGGCGTTCCCGAACTGCGGTGGAGGCATCGATGGGACCCACATCCCAATCCGCGCACCATACCATGGAGCGGCCCAGCGCATAAATCGAAAAGGCTACTTTATGATGGTGCTGCAGGCCCTAGTTGACTACTGGGGACACTTTACAGACATTTTTGTTGGGCAGGGCACATGATGCCCGAGTGTTCAGAAACTCTAGCCTGTACCACAAGCTGGAGGCGGGCGCATTCTTCCCCTGCCAGGACTTTGCCGTTGGGGATGTGCAGATGCCACTGTGCATCGTGGGGGATGTGGCCCTCATGCCGTGGCTGATGAAACCATACACCAGCCACCTGGATCCCAGCAGGGACCAATTTAATGCCCACTCGAACCGGGCCTGAATCCAAGTGGAGTGTGCCTTTGGCCGCCTCAAGGCACATTTCCGGTGCCTGCTGACCCGCCTCGACGTGGGGGAGCACAACATCCCCAAGGTGATGGCGGCATGTTGGGTCCTCCACAACATTGTGGAGAGGAAGGGGGAGGCCTTCCTCCCGGGGTGGGGGGCTGACGCCGGCAGAAAGGGGTGAGCGTTTCAGCAGCTGAGGGCAGCTGCCATCCGCCAGGCCAGAGTGCACATCCGGGAGGCCCTGAGGGAGAGGTTCTCTCAAGGACCCCAGTAACTCTCCCCAGGGCCTCCTCCCTAGAGTCCTCTGGCTTGCAGCCCTATCCCTTCCCCACCACAACCCCTCCCTTCACCTCTGAATAAATACACCTGTTTGATTTTCAAAAACACGAGGTCTGTATTTATGAAACATTCAGAAAATGTGGGCCTGGGGAGGTGCTCATAACTGGGAGGGGCAGGAGGTGGCTCGATGTGCCACCTTGGGTGCAGAGACCTCGTCGGAGTTGGGGTTGAGTGGGTCCAGGGAGCATGGGGGGCTGGAGAGGGGTCAGGGTTGAGGCCATAGGCCTCACTTGAGATGGGGGCATGGGCATCACCTGGGGAGGGAGCAGAGGCATAGCGAGGGGCAGGTGGAGAGGCAATGGGCATAGCAGGGGGGGCAGGAAGGTGGAAGCCAGGAGTAGCAGCTTCAGGCGGATGTGCCGTCATACGTGACATCACAGCACACATGTTGTCACACTGCTATGTCAACTGGTCCCATGCGTGGTTCCACTACTCCCACGTCCATGCGGTTGTGCACTAGGGTCTGGTGGATGTTGTGCAGGACACTGATGTGCTGGTGCATGAGGTGGTCTTGGATCCTAGTGCACGTTAGGGTCCCCCAGGCTCTGGCGGGTGACGGTGGTGGTGTGGCTTGGCCCTCAGTCCCAGCTGGTCCTGCTGTGGAGAACACAGAGAGAGAGAGAGGCGGTCAGTCATCCCTGAAGACACTGTCCCTGAAGCCTGGCCCTTCTCTAAGAGCAGCAACCAATAGTCTGCGGCTCAGAATAGGAGGATGTCCCAGGTGCAAGGCCATGTGTGGCCTGCACAGCAGCCCATGCCTCACAGGGGCCCTGACATGCCCAGAGGACCGTGCTTCCCGCTCTTTCAGAAAAAGGCTTCTTCCTCATAGAATGAGGATTAACATAGTTGGAAAAACCCCTCCGTTCTTTCGATTTTTCTTTCGGAAGAACGCAATTGCAGTGTGGACGTTTCTCAAGTTTTGTTGGCCATTTTTCCGACCAAACTCTGTAGTGGAGACATACCATGCGAGATTGGCCAATGGGAGCTAAGAGATTGGCCAATGGGAGCTAAGAGATTTTGCTGGGAGGGTCGGAACCACATGCGAATTCTCCCTCCCCAGGACAAAGAACAGCTGGCTTTTTAAAGTGTGAACTGTTCTCTGCCTAAGGGTTTCGGTGACGCAGCCGTGGGCTGGATCTGGCCCGTGGGCTGGATCTGGCCCGCCCATGCGTGAACTCCAGAGGGGTTCACATTGCACAGACAAAATGCTTGTTTTCATAACAGTTGCTGAGTTTTAAGCCAATCTTGAGATTTTGGAGGGCTTGGCTCCTGGTGTCTGGACATGGGGCAAGCACATGGTGGAGGGTGGAGTAGAGATAGGGTTACTGCCTTTGAAGTGCAAAAGCCCTGGTACCCCCTTCTCCCACAAAACAAGTTCACCACAACCCCAACCATAAGGCAGCTCTGCAGCTCTTCCTCTTCAACAGCCACTTCCAGCAGAGAGAGAACTTCTATAGATAAGATTGATAACATCTCCTGTGACTCAAACCCTCTCTCGCACCCGCACTTGAGTGTTGGTGGGCACACAGCTACTGTATTTTCTACAATTTTGATGTGTTGTCACTTAATTTGCAGAAGTGGAAGCCCTGCAGTATCCTTAGCAGGACACAGAAACTTTCAACATCGGCTATTCCCGTTTTATTGTGATTATAATGCAAATGTTTAGGCTCATGTTAATAAAAAAGGCACATTAAACTATTTTTTGGGGGCATCCAACAGATCCATAAAAAAATGGACAGGCCAATCAAACACTGGCCAGGTGGTAACCCCAGATATGGAGCACGTAGGCTGGGAACAGTGGGGTGCAGGCCCCATAGGGAGAGGGGTGTGGGATGCAGAGAAGGAGGTGGATGGTGTGCATAGGAATGACCAACTGACTCTCACCATCTATTCCAGTGTCCTGTCTTCCAGCAGCAGCCCATAACAGCTGCTTGAGAGGGAATGTACAGAACAGGGTAATTAGCGAGTGAGCCATTCTACCATCCAGTCCCAGCTTCTTGAAATCAGGGTTAGGGACCCCCAGAGCATGGGTTGCATTGTGGAAGATCTTGGCTAATAGCCTTTGATGGCTCTAACCTTCATGAACACATCTAATTCTTGTTTGAACCCCATTATACTTTTGGCCTGCACAACATCCCCTGGCAATGACTTCTGCAGATTCACTGTATATTGTATGCATGGAAGGTGTGTGAACTGCCCACTGCAGGGAGCCAGCCTTGCTCCTTCTGCCTGACACCCTACCCCTTCCTGTCAGAGCCCAGGCACACACAGCCCCTTCCCTCCCCCCCTCCCCCCCCAGCTGCTGGCC